CTCTCGTCTCATCTCTCTCTCTCTCTCTTCTCTCTTCTTCTCTCTCCTCTGCCGCTCTCTCCTCTCTCTCTCTCTCTCTCTCTCTCTCTCTCTCTCTCTCTCCTCTCTCTCCTCCTCTCTCTCTCGCTCCTCTCTCTCTCTCCTCTCTCCTCCCATCTCTCTCTCTCTCCGCTCCTCTCTCCTCACTCCTCTCTCTCCTCCTCTCTCTCTCTCTCTCTCTCTCTCACACACACACTCACACAACACACACACACACCCACACACACACACATAAGATATATATTCGTTTTTATCTCATTTACTTACTCCTGACCCTGCATTAAGACTACAAATATTTTAAGGTAAGTAATGAGTGAACTGTATATGCATTTTATCACTCTGGGATGCTTGAATATTATGTGTAGGTGTGGTGGCCTGGTATGGTAGCCCGGCTGACTACCATACATACCACACTTGATTTCTTACAATAAAGACTACTCATCTCACCCTAGATTAAGACTGTAAATATTTTAAGGTAAGTAATGAGTGCACTGTGTGTGCATTGTACTTTTTTATTGTTTTTTGATGCTTAGTTCTATTGCTAACTTAATGTATGTTAGTGTAAAGTTGTTATCTAGTATTTGTATGCATTTATAAGGGGGAAAAAAGGGTGTTCCACTTTACGGCGATTTCCGCTTTACGGCAGTAGCCTGGAACCTAACCTGCCGTATAAGTGGGGCCCTACTGTACCTATTTTTCCAAATAAATTCATAACAGATTTACGCCTATCCAATTTACTTACGTTTTCCATGGATTAATTCCCTAGGTGCACATAATTTTAGGTATTGTTAACAGGCAGTAAAACTTTCACAATGACATAGAAAGTTTATTCTTTTTGGAGACAGGTTTGTGTAGCTTATGACTCACTTTGATTTTTTTTTTTTTTTTAGGTGGGGGTTAGCCTAGGTAATTTTCATTCATGAAATGAATAGTTTTAACTGATGTGAACCTAACCGAAATAAACTTATTGCTTCTCATTTCTTCCTTTCCCTTTGTTATTGTCTCTCCCCCACCCTGGCCCTCCTGTTGCTTTCCTTCTGTCTTACTATCTCCTCATACTAAGGTGACTGCCAGGGCAATATATTGGGTGCCTGTCCAATATATTCTAGCTGAGGTTACTCACAGTATCTTCTATTACTATACTTTGTTAAACTGTTGGCTCCTCCATACTGTTTTAACAACTAGGTCTGTATACAGAAACTGAAATCAAACCAGTAGTAATTAACGCTAATAATTACTAGGTGTGGGTTTATTTATTTTTTTATTTCTAAATTTATGTTCCCTTAGAACAGTAGTTTCAACATTTGTGAATTTTGAAAATCCATATTAGGCAATCAAATTTTTTTATTAATTTGACAAGAAATCATTAAAAAATGTGATTAGAAAGACATAAATATTTCAAAATGGAAAAATAACAGAAAAGAGATATCAAAGCTTTTCTGTTTGGTTACACAAATTTCAGATGAAGTATTTTCTCTAAAGAAGTGCATAAATTGTTCAAATACAGTACTTCTGTTCTTATTTCACTCCTTGACTGTCAAAACCCCAAATCCTGAGGTGTCTCCTGGTGTCGAAAAATTAAAAAAAAAAAAATTTCTTATGAAATGAATCTTTTCCTGATGGTAATGACGCCAAAAGAACGAAATTTGATGAAAAACTTATGGAATTACACTCTCGCGAAGTTAGCAACTCGGCAATAATGTTACGAATCCGGCTTATTTTCGCCCATTTTGAGCCCTATTTTCAGCTAATTCCAGTGTACCAGTTGATGAAACTCATAGGTATTTCTTTAGAACTCCATTTGTTCTATCGATTGAGTACAAAAAACTGCTCATATACCGATTTCAACTACCCAATAACGTGGTCCGAAATTTGCAATTTGGCCAATTTCACGCAAATTAAAAAATATGCCAATTTCACGCAAATTAAAAAATATGCCAATTTCAAAATAGGGTTCAGAATGAGCAATGCAGACATTTCTGGCTCTAAAATAACATTTTCTTTGTTCATCAGTCACATCTCCAGGCCCCTCTGATATTACTTTTGCTTTGTATTCTGAATTTTTATTCAAACAAAAAATAGAAGATTTACTGTTATGCAGACTACTGCAATATTGTAATAATTGTATAAATAATGTCAACCCGTTCATGACTGCATATTAGAATGGCTAGTTGGACATTTATTGGAAAATGACATCATTTGTTTACTTTTGAACATCGGCAAAAATCAAACTTTTCCCCCCTTAAAAAAAAAATACTTTGCGCCATTTCCAGGTCTTTCATAAGTAAAACCCATCAAAATCACCTTTATTTCTATAATATGTTTTCCATTCTATCAAATGAGACCAAGAAAACGAGAATACAACCATCAATACTGTCGGAGTTTTTTTTTTCTCATTACGCACTGCGTGCTGCAGGATTTTTTTTATATGGTGCACACTGACCACACAGACCCATTCTCTCACATGTGGGCCTACCAGCTTTCCCCTGCTTGATTTGAAGCCGCTAGAATTTTTGAGTATATATACTTCAAACACAGTGGCTCGTAAGACGTATATATGACCAAAACAATCAAAGGGTTAATTACATACGTGTAATAAGCATGAAAATGAGCATATATATATTGTAAAAAAGAGAGCAAATGAGAGAGTGGTTGAGATGTTATCAACAAATTTTGTTGAAAATAAGAAAAAATTTTGGAGTGAGATTAACAAGTTTAGGAAGCCTAGAGAACAAATGGATTTGTCAGTTAAAAATAGGAGAGGAGAGTTATTAAATGGAGAGTTAGAGGTATTGGGAAGATGGAGGGAATATTTTGAGGAATTTTAAATGTTGATGAAGATAGGGAAGCTCTGATTTTGTGTATAGGGCAAGGAGGAATAACATCTTGTAGGAGTGAGGAAGAGCCTGTTGTGAGTGTGGGGGAAGTTCGTGAGGCAGTAGGTAAAATGAAAGGGGATAAGGCAGCCGGGATTGATGGGATAAAGATAGAAATGTTAAAAGCAGGTGGGGATATAGTTTTGGAGTGGTTGGTGCAATTATTTAATAAATGTATGGAAGAGGGTAAGGTACCTAGGGATTGGCAGAGAGCATGCATAGTTCCTTTGTATAAAGGCAAAGGGACAAAACAGAGTGCAAAAATTATAGGGGATAAGTCTGTTGATATACCTGGTAAAGTGTATGGTAGATTATTATTGAAAGAATTAAGAGTAAGACGGAGAATAGGATGGCAGATGAACAAGGAGGCTTTAGGAAAGGTAGGGGGGTGTGGACCAGGTGTTTTACAGTGGCACATAAAGTGAACAGTATTTAGATAAGGCTTAAGAGGTTTTTGTGGCATTTAATGGATTTGGAAAAGGCGTATGACAGGGTGGATAGGGGGGCATGTGGCAGATGTTGCAGGTGTATGGTGTAGGAGGTAGGTTACTGAAAGCAGTGAAGAGTTTTTACGAGGATAGTGAGGCTCAAGTTAGAGTATGTAGGAAAGAGGGAAATTATTTCCCAGTAAAAGTAGGCCTTAGACAAGGATGTGTGATGTCACCGTGGTTGTTTAATATATTTATAGATGGGGTTGTAAGAGAAGTAAATGCGAGGGTCTTGGCAAGAGGTGTGGAGTTAAAAGATAAAGAATCGCACATAAAGTGGGAGTTGTCACAGTTGCTCTTTGCTGATGACACTGTGCTCTTGGGAGATTCTGAGGAGAAGTTGCAGAGGTTGATGGATGAATTTGGTAGGGTATGCAAAAGAAGAAAATTAAAAATGAATACAGGAAAGAGTAAGGTCATGTGGATAACAAAAAGATTAGGTGATGAAAGATTGGGTATCAGATTGGAGGGAGAGAGTATGGAGGAGGTGAATGTATTCAGATACAGTGGACCCCCGCATAACGATTACCTCCGAATGCGACCAATTATGTAAGTGTATTTATGTAAGTGCGTTTGTACATGTATGTTTGGGGGTCTGAAATGGACTAATCTACTTCACAATATTCCTTATGGGAATAAATTCGATCAGTACTGGCACCTGAACATACTTATGGAGTGAAAAAATATCGTTAACCGGGGGTCCACTGTATTTGGGAGTGGACGTGTCAGCGTGTCAGCGGATGGGTCTATGAAAGATGAGTTGAATCATAGAATTGATGAGGGGAAAAGGGTGAGCGGTGCACTTAGGAGTCTGTGGAGACAAAGAACTTTGTCCTTGGAGGCAAAGAGGGGAATGTATGAGAGTATAGTTTTACCAGCGCTCTTTTATGGGTGTGAAGTATGGGTGATGAATGTTGCAGCGAGGAGAAGACTGGAGGCAGTGGAGATGTCATGTCTGAGGGCAATGTGTGGTGTGAATATAATGCAGAGAATTCGTAGTTTTGGAAGTTAGGAGGAGGTGCGGGATTACCAAAACTGTTGTCCAGAGGGCTGAGGAAGGGTGGTTGAGGTGGTTCGGACATGTAGAGAGAATGGAGCGAAACAGAAGGACTTCAAGATTGTATCAGTCTGTAGTGGAAGGAAGGCGGGGTAGGGGTCGGCCTAGGAAAGGTTGGAGGGAGGGGGTAAAGGAGGTTTTGTGTGGGAGGGGCTTAGACTTCCAGCAGGCATGCGTGAGAATGTTTGATAGGAGTGAATGGAGACAAATGGTTTTTAATATTTGACGTGCTGTTGGAGTGTGAGCAAAGTAACATTTATGAAGGGATTCAGGGAAACCGGCAGGCCGGACTTGAGTCCTGGAGATGGGAAGTACAGTGCCTGCACTCTGAAGGAGGGGTGTTAATGTTGCAGTTTAAAAACTGTAGTACATATGAAGCACCCTTCTGGCAAGACAGTGATGGAGTGAATGATGGTGAAAGTTTTTCTTTTTCAGGCCACCCTGCCTTGGTGGGAATCGGCCAGTGTGTTAATAATGATAGTAAAATAATATATTGTTTTGTTTACTTCTTTCCTTAGTATAATTTTATTTTTTCCTCAGATGTTGGGAGGTGTTACACATGTAACTAACATGGTTGTAGAACCATGTGCTGAAATTGTTAGTGAACTTGAGATATTACACCGGTGTACTCGAGAAACAGCAGATGAGTTAAGACACCTGGAACAAGAACAAGAATCATTTGCTCTACAGTATCATGACTGTGCAAAAATTAATGGTGAGTAATTTTTTTTTTTCACATTAGTTTGTCTCACCATGATAAGATGATCCAAGGAAGGTTCACCATCACTCATTTTTATAGAATGCTTTCCTGTGATGCATGAAATACAGTGTCAGTTGGTTTGGAATAGGGGTGTGCCAGGGTATTGGAATCAGTGTATGTCAGCAATTTTTGTGATTTTTCTGAGAAAGTTGCTGTTACCAGTCGATACTTTTAAAATATTAACCCTTTGAGGGTCGAGAGGCTCTTTCCTAAACTTGTTTTCAGGGTTGAAAAATATATAAAAAAAAAAAAATCTAATGAAATGATAGAGCATAATTTTGTGAGTGTTATAGGAAAAAAAAAAATTCTGCGATCAATACTTACTGAGATTTGGAAGCGTGAAGTTGACAGAAAATGAACCACTTACAGCAACATCACTGACTGCTGGTCACGCAATAATGATTTATTTTTTTTTTTTCAACTTTTTTTCTTTTCTTTTTTCTTTTTTTCTTTTTTCAAGAAACTTTTATGGCCTGTGAGACCAATGTAAGTCATATTTTGTTTATATTCACTTGTGTGCTACACAATAACTGCACAAACGTTGTCATATAATGTTTACAAAAAACATGTTTACAGAAACCAACAAAAAATTTTTTATTATTATTTTTCTATCATGCATATACACACACACATAGAACCAATGGACACATTCCTGGAACTGCAAGAGGTTCTGAAAGCTTGTAGTTGTGTGTGGGTGGACTTTTAAATATGCTGAGTCACTGGCTTGTCACAAACCTTCTGGAGTTCTATAACAGGTTGATGGCTGTAAGACAAGAGAGAGAGGGGTGGGTAGATTGCATTTTCTTGGACTGTAAGAAGGTGTTTGACACAGTTTCACACAAGAGATTAGTGCAAAAGCTGGAGGACCTGACATGGATAATGGGGAAGACACTACAATGGATCAGGGAATGCCTGTCAGGAAGACAACAGTGAGTCATGGTACTTGGCAAGGTGTCAGAGTGGGCGCCTGTAACGAACAGGGTGCCACAGGGGTTAGTCTTAGGACCAGTGCTGTTTCTGGTATTTATGAAAGACATGACAGAAGGAATAGACTCCGAAGTGTCCCCATTTGCAGATGATGTGAAGTTGATGAGAAGTCAATTGAAGGAGGACCAGGCAGAACTATAAAGGGACCTGGAAAGGCTTCAGGCCTGGACCAGCAACTTGCTCCTGGAGTTCAACCCCACCAAGTGCAAAGTCATGAAGATTGGGGAAGGGCAAAGAAGATTGCAGATGAAGTACAGTCGAGGGGGCCAGAGACTACAAACCTCACTCAAGGAAAAGGATCTTGGGGTGAGTATAACACTAGGCACATCTCATGGGTGACTTCAACCACAGGGAGATTGACTGGGAAAACCTGGAGCCACACAGGGTCCCGAAACATGGAGACCCAAGATGATGGATGTGGTACTGGAAAACGTCATGCACCAACATGTTAGGAATACTACCAAAGAGAGACGGGAGGATGACCCAGCAAGACTGGACCTTGTGTTCACCCTGAGTAGCCCAGACATTGAGGACATCACATATGAAAGGCCCATTGGAGCTAGTGACCACATGGTTCTGAGCTTTGAATACATCGTAGAGCTACAAGTGGAGAGGGGTAACAAGAGTAGAAAGGGAAAAGCCAAACTATAAAAGGGGGGGACTACACAGGTATGAAAAGCTTCATGCAGGAAGTTCATTGGGAAAGAGAGTTGGTAAGAAAGTCAGTAAACGAAATGATGGACTACGTAACAACAAAATGGAAGGAGGTAGAGGAAAGGTTTGTTCCCAAGGGTAACAGAAATAATGGGATAACAGGATAAGGGAGGTAGTAGAGCACTAGCTAAAAATTACAGACCAGTAGCCCTAACCTCTCACATTATAAAATCTTCGAAAGAGTGATGAGATGGCAGGTTACAAATTTCATGGACCACCACAACCAACATAACCCGAACCAGCGTGATTTTAGAGCAGAACGATCATGTCTGTCACAGCTGCTGAACCATTATGACAGAATTACGGAGGCACTGAAAGACGACCAAAACGCAGATGTGATTTACACAGATTTTGCAAAGGCGTTTGACAAATGCGATTATGGAGTGATAGTGCACAAAATGTATAGTTATTCAGGCTAAAACGTTGTGTAGTTTTAAAAATAGGTTAGATAAATACATGAGTGGGTGTGGGTGGGTATGAGTTGGATCTGACTAGCTTGTGCTGCTGGGTCTGGTGCAGTGCTCCTTCCTTGAGTGGAGATGACCAGACTGGGTGGGTCATTGGGCTAATCCGGGGAGGGGGTCATTGGTCTAATCCGGGGGGGGACATGGACCTGCTCCGCATGGGTCAGTATGCCTGTTGCAGTGTTCCTTCTTTCTTATGTTCTTATGAAGGCCATGGGCATTACGGGGAAGGTAGGCAGATGGATTTTTGGTTTCCTAACACACAGAACACAAAAAGTAGTAGGGAACAGGGCAAGATCCAGCATCAGCAAGGTCAAAAGCTCAGTGTCCCAAGGCACTGTCCTGGCTCCTCTGCTGTTCCTCATCCTCATAGCAGACATAGACAAAAACACCCGGCACACTTTCGTGTCATCATTTGCAGATGACACTAAAATAAGCATGAAAGTCAGTATGGTAGAGGACACTGAAAAAGTACAGGAAGACATGAACAGGGTTTTCCAGTGGGCAGTGGAGAACAACATGACGTTCAATGGTGATAAATTCCAGCTGCTTAGGTATGGAAAGAATGAAGAACTCAAAAGGAGTACTATATACAAAACTCAAGAGGGTCACCAAATAGAATGTAAGGAACACATAAAAGACCTAGGAATAATTATGTTAGCGGACGTTTCTTTTAACCCGTAAACGGTCCAAACATATATAAACATTCACTACCCCAGTGCCCCGAATATTTTGAAAAATAAAAAAATAGTTTTTTTTTTATAGAAAAAAGGAGTACATTTTTCTAAGTGTTATAGGATAAAAAAAAAAATTAGGGTCAGTACTTACCGAGATATGAGGCCGCGAAGTTGGCACTTGGCGATCACCTGACGGCAACATGGAGCGCTGTCGCTTGTAGAAACTCTACATATTTACCGTTTTTTTTTTTTCCATTTTTTTTTTTTTTTTTACTTTTCTTTGTTTTCTTGATGTGATACTTATGTTTTACAGTAATTCTTTTGATTTCAATGTCAGTTGTTGCTTATACACCAATAATATATACAAAATTATTATCATATTGTCACAGACACATATGTACACACTGACAGGTGATTATGCACACCTGGCTGAATCACACATTATTATCTACAACTATATACAAGCATTTACATGTCCCACTTATGTTTCTAGAACTCCACGATTGTATGATACTCCATGAAGCATGGATTCATACAGAGTGCCACCCCACACTGGTGACAAATGTATCGTGTGTCCTTTCGCTGTTGGGGTCGTTTTGTGGTGGTAGCACACACAACACACTTTCTGGGAATGCTTCTTCTTTAGGGTAGGTGGTATTGGTACCAAGTAGTGACAGTTAGGGATGATTCGGTCTGGCACTTTCCCCACTGGCTGTGGTTGTGGTTGGGGGACAGGTTGTGGTGTGACAGGTCGCTGTTGAGGGGCAGGTACAGGTGTGGTGCCATACTTTTTTGCAATCTGTTTTACGACATTTAAGGAGAATTCTGCAAAACGTTGTCGTTTTCCAGTCTTTATTTCGTACATATTGAATGCATTGAGCACTACAATGTCTACAAGGTGAAAAAACAGTTTTATATACCACTTGCAACTCGTACGCACACAGTCAACAAACCCTATCATCATGTCACACTTGTCAATGAGTCGCATATTGTTTGTATAGTCGACAACAGCAGCTGGCTTGACAATACGTTCATTGGTCTCCCTGTTCACTTTGTCTGTTTGTACCATCTCGTTTCTGTGGATGGTTGACATCAATGTCATGACCCGTTTGTCATGCCATGTCAGTGCCATGATGCCATTGGCATGAAATACTTGCACTGCACCTTCAGTACTGCCTTCACTGAACCTTGGCATATGTTTTCTATTCCTTCTCACTGTTCCACATATATCAGTATTGTTCACACGTAGGAAATCAGCGAGCATAGGGCTTGTATACCAGTTGTCTGTGTACAATATATGGCCCTTGCAAAGGTATGGTTCCATCATTTTTCGAACAACATCACCAGAAATGCCCAACATGCATCTGGTATCGTCGAGTGTGTTTTTCCCGGTGTACACAATCACATCTAACACAAGACCACTCTCACAGTCACACAACAAAAAGTTTTATACAAAAGCGATGACGTTTGCTTGGTATATATTGTTTGAATGACAAGTGTCCCTTAAACAGAATCAAGGACTCGTCAACAACAATATTCTTGAAGGGATAAAAGTAGGCACTGAATTTCTACTTCATATAGAAAGGGGTTTAGTTATAGGTAATACATATTTTAAGAAAAAGAGGATAAATAAGTATACAAGATACGATGTAGGGCGAAATGACAGTAGTTTGTTGGATTATGTATTGGTAGATAGAAGATATTGGCAGTTTGGAGGGATATGTTGTGTATCTTTATATGTGTATGCTTCTAGACTGTTGTATTCTGAGCACCTCTGCAAAAACAGTGATAATGTGCGAGTGTGGTGAAAGTGTTGAATGATGATGAAAGTATTTTCTTTTTGGGGATTTTCTTTCTTTTTTGGGTCACCCTGCCTCGGTGGGAGACGGCCGACTTGTTGAAAAAAAAAAAAAAAAAAAAAAAGATAGAAGACTGTTGAGTAGACTTCAGGATGTACATGTTTATAGAGGGGGCCACAGATATATCAGATCACGTTTTAGTTGTAGCTACACTGAGAGTAAAAGGTAGATGGGATACGAGAATAGAAGCATCAGAGAAAAGAGAGGTGAAGGTTTATAAACTAAAAGAGGAGGCAGTTAGGGTAAAATATAAA